CAGGCGGGTGGGCCCGCCGCGGCACATTTGCCTTTTGTGAAGGCGGAACTCTAGGTGCGTCCTCATAGGAAGAGTGTCAGCCCCGAGGGGCGGGAGGGACCGCGGGCCAGGCCGCTGCCGGGTCAGGGCTCGGGTCTCCACCGTGATCCTTAAAGGATCCCTGGGTGGGTGGGTGCTCGTGGGCTTGACTCTGTACTCAGAATCTGAACTCAGTCACGTGGGAGCCACGGGCCTGTTCTTCGGACTTCAATAAAATCTGGCTCTGGTCCTCGCTGTCCTTCTCGTGCGTTCCTCCACGGGGGAGGGGGAGGGGAGGCAGGGGAGGAGCTGGGAGGCAGGGGCACACCACCCAGTGCAGGAGGAGGGGACAGGCCGGAGACCTGGACCTCTGGCCCAGCCTCTCACCAGCTCCCTGAGAGCACAGTGACAGCTCGGACCTTCCGGCCCCGAAGGCCACGGCCTGCACTGGAGCGCTTGCTGCCACGAAAGGGGTTTAGCCGGCCAAACACACAGGAAAAGATGTTTGTCCCCCCTCGCCCTTCCCGCGTGGCCGGCAGCCCCCACCCCTGGACCGGCCCCCGGGGGCACCTGCCCTCCCTGCTGGAGGAACAGGCAGTGCGGGCTGCAGGGGGTTGGAGTCTGCAGGAATCTAGAGGCTCCTGACTAGCCAAGGGGCATATCCACGCTGTGGGGATGAGCTGGCTGTGGGACCAGAGGCATTATTTTAACAGATGCGGGGCCCAGCCCGGCCCCCCTCCTTCCCGCTCAGCACTTCCCTCCCCGCCATCGTCCATCCTTTTCCATCTACTCTGCAGGGAATGTCCAATGGCGCCCCCTCCCGGCCAGCCCAGTGCCTGCGGGTGGTCTCTGGGGTCCCTTGCTCAGGCCTTGGGAGCAGCGAGCCAGGGACAGGGAGCCGCCTCTTCCACTTGAAGCATTTACTGCAGGCACCCCCCTGCCCAGGGTCCTGGATGTCTGAGAGCCTCTTGGGAGCAGACCCCTGCACCCTTCCACCCAGGCCTCCCCACCTAGAGCCGCACCCCCACCCCCAGGAGGACACCTGCCAGGCTGCCTCCCCCTGGCCTGATGCCCGATGCCCAGCACGGCCCCTCCTGTGAATCAGCCTGTAGCTTGCTGCTCCGCAGGCCTGGGCTCCGGCCGGCCGGCCGCCCGCCCTGCCAGGCATCGGGCATGCTAGGAGGAGGCCCAGGCCCCGAGAAATGAAGTTACCAGCCTAGGGTCACCTGGCAGGCGGGCGCCAAAGCCACCCAGGGGCCCTCTGTCTGCTCCCCACGCTGGGCTCCCTCCCAAAGCACCCCAGTGTCTCTGCAGGGGGCACATCTGTGCCGGTCCCGGAGCTCTACCCCACCTGTGCTCCTGTCCCGGCTTTGGGAGCTTCCTCAGCTTGTCCCTTGCAAACGCCCACGGGTTCCCCTCTGGGCGGAGGGCAGCCTCCTCCAGGCAGGCTCCCCGGCGCTCTCTGCTGGTGGGGCCATCAGAGCACACAGCTCCCCGTTGTGAGCCCTTCACTCTCTGGCTCACAGTCCGGCATGTCTGTCTGCTCTGCCCTCGAGGGCAAGGTCCCCGTACCCGTCCGGCGCGGGGCTTTTAGCCCCGACAGCCCAGCATCCCTGGAGGCCCAGGCGAGGCCCAGGCGACGGGTCACAGGCGCCTTCCCGTGCGGGTGCCAGGC